TACTTACACATCTCAAAGAAGCCTTCTTCTATTAACGTTTACGCTTTTATCGTTCAGGCATGTTTATAGCATTTCCTTGCTAGGTGTCAGTAACGAAGAGTAGTTTTGCCGCAGCCTATGTCAAGGTGAGAGAGAGATTTTAGTGTGGATTTGTGGATGGATAGGTTGGTGTGAATCAGGGAGGGTGAGCATAAAAGGGATCATACAAATTTGATTTAGTAATGGCAAATGTGAAAAATTTGAAAGTCTCCACTAACTTATTGTTGATTTTAATCACGCAGTAGCCACCCTGGCACAGAAGAAAACAAGGTGGTTACGATTAGCAATGTGAAGAAAATTGTCGAAGCTGAGGGCTGCCTGCGATTCTCTTCCTGGCAGTAGCGGATGGATAGGCGGAAGAATAGCTGGATTACACTACGAATCGGCCAATTGATTTAAATTTGCCTAGTCGTTTTACGCTATAAAGAACTGGACTAGTTAAGGTGTTGGTTGCATGGCAAGATATAAGATGGAATCAAGAAAACCTTTAGAAAGAGTTTAGGGGAGCACATAGGTGTAGCGAAACCATGATTAACAGGCATTGCTACGAAAGGGACATTGTTTTCAGAGACGAGATGTGAGGTGAGATGAGATGCCCGTTAGATCTTGCAGGGGGCACCAATTCCATAAATCCCATGCATGGATGGAGAGAGGGATGGATGAATGAGAAGACTCAGATTAATGCAAATATCTTGTTAATCAAGAAATGATTCGCCAATTTATAAAGTTCTTAGTGCTCCTTTAATTACTCTTCTAACATTTACACGGTATTGCATGCCCTTTCGATTTTCATGCCTGCCACCCTTTGATTGGATCAGCATAAGCAAATAAAAACGAAATTACAGTAGTTGGTGTGCTCACCGGACTGCGCTGACTGCCAAGATTTCGCAGTATATTACACGATTTATGAACATTAAGCTAGGAGTCGTAAAAACCTTCAACAATATGTTAAAGCACCAGTAGATTGTTAAAAATAAGGTTAAACCAAAAAATGCCGCCGTAGCAATGCTTTAGAGTACTTCAAGCACAATTACAGGTACGTGCCAGACTGTTTAGAAATGACCAAGCTGATGGTCATTTTATTTGTCACTCGGTTGGATAGTGAGCGCTAGTTTGCACAGGTAGCGAATATTCTGCCATTTAATATATGAACTTTGGTCATAAAAAGGCAAGTCACCGAAAACCCCAAAAATACGTTAAAAATCATCACACCTGCGCAGGAAGGGATTATGGAAGGGTTTTAGCAGGGGTGTGAAAGAAGCTCGATTTGGGCGTCAATCGGCAGGATCGCTGATCTGCCTGACAGCCCATATTGATAAATCAATGTTGTCTGTCTTCTAAACCTTCTACAGTCCCTAGAGCCTCTACAGACTGTCGTTTCTTCTAGGAAAATCTGAGGGTCGAAAAATGAAGTACTACACCTGATCCTACATCCATGCCGTACATATTCAAATATTCATCCATCAGCACATCCCATTTCATTCACCCTGCATTCGTCCATTCCGTATCCATCATTTCCGTTTCCATCCATTTCATATCCCTTCGTTTCGTGTTTATTTAACCTGTAAAACCCCATCTATCCATCCACTTATCGAGTCACTACTACTTTGATGGCGATATGCCCAACTAATCTGCCCAAGTTCTAGAACTCTTCCAAAAGTCGGCATCTTTAGATATCCAAGTATTCGGGGGAGAGCCGGTTCATGGCGTGGTATATATGTTTCTCCCTGGGTTTGAGCCATCTCTTGATCTCAAAAATGGCAAATCCAAATAATAGTGTAATTAATCACATCTCCTGTACTTGCGCTTCCACGATACACGTGGACACCTTTGTTATCTCTTAGTCAATCTCTCCCACATATTCAGTAGAATCGACTTTTCTCATGTTGGATTTCAGAAAATCAGCACGTCACAGAAGGCGGAGAAAGCCAAAAGATTCGATGCTTCCATTGAGACGTTGTCCTTTAGCCATTGTATTCGCCAAATCCGCTACAACTTAATGAGCAAAATTCGCATTTAAAGTAAAACAATGCATTCTTACATTGCCTAGAAGCAAATTGGAAAACACACATCTACCGTTAGCTATGATGACCGCTACATTGGAAAGGTGCCACAATGGTGTCCCTTTAATGTCATTTCTATCAGCTCCTTCTATCTCTATTCATTTACTGCCTTCTCGTCCTCTTCTAGCACACTATCCGAAGCAAATTCTAGCAACAAAAGTTCATTGACATCTGTCAGTCAAGCTGATAGGGCTACATTGGGATGGATCGGCCGATGCAATCCATCACTCATTTTGTCGAAAGGCAGTGTATGCAGAAAAGGCGAGCTAAATTGTCGACTTGGAGTTAGTTACAAGTCTGCTGTGCCTTATATTGGATACGGTCTCGGAAGTGACTGTCATATAACAAACACTAGGCCAGCTGTTCCACGTGGTAGCAACAAGATGTTAAGACCTTATCTGGTGACTCAGCGGTGGCCGTAGTGGTGGTAGTGCACTTCAGACCTGGTCAACAAACACAGATGATGCAGCCTCAATGCCTCAAAAGTTTGGTTAAAAAGATCTGTCTGTGGAAGAAGTTGCCAGCAGCAAAAGAAGGCTCGCATTTTCAATATTTTTTATTCGCCTTTACAAGAAACTTTTGTTAGCTCATTTTTCGCAAAGG